CAAGCCACTGTACTGATACGGTGGCCGCTGCTCCCAACTACTATCAATACAGCCGTACCAGCCGGAACCCACAACTGATCCTATCACCGAAGTCTAGAAAGAGCCTCAACCAAACTCCAATGTCTTGCAAACATCAGTCTCAGCCACTAAACTAGATCTAGGATATGTTGTCTCCCTCCCACAGCCAACCCCTTGAACAACTGGCATGGCCACCATATGGCAAGAGGGCTATGCCCCCCCCCCCCCCCCCCCGCATGGCCACCATATGGCAAGAGGGCTATGCCCCCCCCCCCCCGCCACCTTCACCTCAGTCTGCGTGCTTCTCTGCTCTTCGTGCTTGTTTAATTATGAGAGCCATGTAAGGCAACTCCCCAAAAGGGTTATTCCTTCCTGTCTTTTATGGCTCTGCCGGAGAACGGCACAGCAGAAGAACCATAAAGCAGGCCAAGAAGTCATAAAACACCGTGTCTGTTCAGGGAATGCGGGCCGTCTCAGGCAGGTGTCCGGCTCACTTAGAAGCAACCAGTCTGTGAGAGGATCCCATGGAAAGAAACCAGGCTCCACAATTAGCCCCAGCTAAAGATACAGCAAAGTAAAATTATTGCCGCAAAAATCTATTTATGCAGGTACTCCTCGACTTATGTCCACAGTTGAGCTGAGGATTTCCACTGCTAAGCAGTACAATTGTTAAATGAGTCACACCCAATTTTATGACCTTTCTGACCATCCAATTGCCGCAGTTGTTAGCTGAATCGTGCAGTCGTTAAGTGAATCGAGCTTCTCCCATTCACTTTGCTTGTCAGAAGCCTGATGGGAAGGTCGCAAATAGCAATCACATCACTCTGGGACACTGCAATTGTCATAAATACTTGCCCGTTGTCAAGTGCCTGGATTTTGATCGTGCGATTCTGGGAATACTGCGAAGGTTGTAAGTGTGAGGACAGTTGTAAATCACTTTTTTCAGTAACTTTGAACGGTTACTAAACAAATAGTCGTGCCACAGTGGCAGAGTGGTTAGAGTGCAGTACTGCAGGNTGCAAAGACAAAGCTTCCCTTTGGATGAGGGTATAATTTTATTTATTTATTCTTAGTCAAGGCTGTTTTTTATTCTTTACTGAAGGCTTTTATTTCCTTTATCCCGTTCCCAAAGTTGAGATGCCTGCAACTTGAGATGTCCAACGGGGGAGTGGGGGGGACATTGAATAATGGTCAACAACTCATATTGCTCTGCCTTTGAGTGAAACAAGAACGGAGTGCAGACCAGAGATGCGGAGAAATCCTTTCCTGCAAATGGCCCCGGGTTGCATTTATCCTTCCTCGCCAACCCAGGGACCCCCTTCAGCACCCACATACCCACTCCCACTCCAAAACGGGCAGGCCTTCGGGTTTGTCACTCCGCCAACTTCCCTAAGAGCAACTTTGCAGCCTTGGAGGGGCGCCGCCAAATCCGCGGATCGGACGATCCCCTGCAGCCAAAAAGCTCCTAGGAAACAACCCCCCCCCCCCAAATCTCCTGAACCCCTCGCTCGCCCGCTCCCCTCTTTGTCTCCCTCCGAGGAATCGGACCGCACAGACGGGCTGAGAAAAAGCCCAGACAAAGGGACGGACGGTGTGCCCAGCGCACCCACCCCCACTCGCTTCTAGGGGGATCCCTCGATCCCGCCGCCGACCCCTTACCCGCATCGGCCGACGGTACGACGGTGGCTCCCCACCCCCGGGAGGGTTTGCCTCCGACCCGACCCTTCAGTGCGATTCCTCCGTCTCCCCCGCCGCGGAGATCCACGCCTCCTCCATGCCCGATCGCGCAATCTCAGCTGCCAGATCTCTGGCTCGGGAGCGTCCAAGGAGCCATCTGGCTGCTGGGACGTGTAGTCCTCCTTCCCGGTGTTTTTGATTGCCGGGCTAAATCCGACCCACTCGCATAGACACTCACACGCGGGATTCTGGGAGCTGTAGTCGTCCCACGCCCACCCACCCCATTTTACGCTTCAGCGGCAATATTTTATCTGGTAGCCCAGAGTGAAAGCCACAAGCAAATGACAGTCGCCGGCCTTATTAACCCTGTGAAGATCTGCAACTGAGCGCTGAATTTCCGATGATCAAACTTGTGTCCCAAAGTTGACCTTTCAAAGTTGCAATGGACTTGACAAAGATGACTCGTGACTCG